GCAACCGCTATCACTTGACTTAAAATATTTTTGCCCTTCCTTGCCTTTAAAGGAGTGACCTTTGCTGTGCTGATGTTGCTACATGCCTTACTTCTTGTCTATCTCACACTGCGAATTTTTTTCTAAACTCTATACTAAACATTAAATCTGTTATCAAAAAGAACTAAACAAAATGAAGACAAAATGATCAGCTTTAAAAAGGACTCGTAACTGGGAAAACCAATGAAAAAGAATGTTAACAACAAATACTTTTTCACACCCAACCCAGTTCTGCGGAATCAGAATCAACGTTGAGTTTAAGCAAGCGAATGAGCCAATTGGAGTAAAGTGCCATGCAGATTTAAATTTTTCCCACTTGTGACGAATGCAGCTATTGAGTTTTTTTGCATGCTAGTTAACATTTGTGTCAGTCATCTGTTGGCTCTCATGCTGGCCAATAGAATCTTCCTGCATATTCGTGGCAGCCAGCTATTGGCTCTCACTCTGGCCAGTAGAAAATGGCCGCAAACTACATGAAAACTGCTGTAGAAGCATGAAAAAATCGATTATTTCCACTATCGATGGGAGTTGGGAAATGCAAAGTTGGTCTTGGCCTTCCCACTAACTTGGAGCATGTGCATGTAAATTTTGGTGCAAATCCATTGAAAATTGTGGCCGTGCATTCGTCACACACACATACACACATCCTGCCTTTTATAGATATATATATATATATATATATATATATATATATATATATATTAAGTATTACTCTTCAAGTAAGAATCGAGTTCTCCGGAGCCACTGGCATATTTCGTATAACAAAAATGTTAAAATTCGCTTCCTTTCTGTCATGCGGTGATGGCCTAGAGGTGAGATATCTGACTGATGTCAAATCAGTCCGGTTTCAATCCTGGCTTGAAGCAGCCACACTGAGGAGCTGTGATACACTGAAACAGTCTGTCTCTGGATGACTATATATATATATATATATATATATATATATATATATATATATATGATGCCCAAGTTTATTTTAAATTGTGTGTATTAATGCTAACTATTGAGCTGCTCACTCAAGAAGTCAACAGAGTGTCCATAAATTATATGGTGTTTTCCTTTCGTCTTTCAATGATAATGTGATTAAGCTTATCAGACAATATGAAAGGAACTTACTTAAAATAAACAGACAAAACTTGTCTATATTATTTAATGAAACATGCATTAATGAAAATTGTTGCTAAATAAATATACATATATATATATATATATATATATATATATATATATATATATATATGTGTGTGTGTGTGTGTGTGTGTGTGTGTGTGTGTATAATAATAATAATATTTATATATATGTATATGTCAAATATGTGAGACAATTTGGAAAAAAATTATTTGCTAATTAACATTCCATCAGATTCTGTTCAGTCTATTCTCTCTCTCTCCATCACACACACACACACACAAACACACACACACACACACACAAACTAATATGGATTATTTTTAAATATTTATATTAATATATTTTTTTTACATTTACTTACCCACCAGTATTATTCATCTATCTATCTCCATATGCCTGGTGTAACAGCAAAATTGTCCAAATCGTGTCACATCAAAATTGTTCAATTGTTAGATTAGGCTTTGAATCATTGCATCTTAGAAATGATTAAAGATATCTTACTGGAATTCTCCTAGTTTTTTTTCGTTTTTTTTTTTACAGTCGGACTGAGCAATAAGAATGTATAATTACCCTCCAAACTTAACAGAAGAATCATGGTGAAATCAATCATAAACAAAAAATGATATGTTCATCATTAATTAATCATAACTAAGGCTCAGAATGTCATGAATGATTGAAATAAAGTTCAAACACAAACACACACACACACACATACATAAATATATATATATATATATATATATATATATATATATATATATATATATATATATTATTCCAGGATCATTTCCAACTTATTGAAGATGATCTTCAACCTCTCTAAACTTCTCACTTTCTGTCCTTGAGCAACAAGTTGCCTCACAGGTTTCATGCATGGTTTTATTTTCAAGTTTTTTTCATTGCTCTTCAGACTGTTATAGCTGAAACTCTTCTCTTACGTGCCCAATGTCATATGGATTGAGTTGGATCTTTTCTAATTGATCTCTTTAGCTCTAAAGTTGAAATGATGATCCCTCTTCTGGTCATGACCTCCTGATCCAATTTTCCTTAACTAGTGCTCCCTCTTTTTAAAACTTATTCACCATTCTCTTGAAGGATGTTGAATAGAATTTGAAGATGGGAGCCAGAGTATGAATGGTGGTACCATTACTGCAGGATTGAATGATCTTTTTCCTCTCACCATTGCTCGTTTTGGAAGACAGTGGATTGGACAGAAATGATTTTAGTCTGTTCTCTTTCTAGCTGAATAATTCAAAGGGTTTTTCAGTGATTTATATGGGATATGGTATCAAGATCGCTTAATGTTGAAAACCTGGAAAAAAACTCAATTAATTTAGTGTTTTTTTAGATAGTAAACATTTTTTGGGTGGACAATTATGCTGTTACATGATTTAAACAATTTTGCTGTTACATCCGATATCTATTTATATCTATCAGCTGCTACCCATGAAAATAAATTTATACTTATCTTTTAGCAATTCATTTTAAGTAGTCCTTTGTGAGCCAACAACGCATGGACTTACGAAGTGTACTAATCACAGTAGCAACAAAAGTCTTTTCAACACTCCATTTTAAAACACTTATTTGGGAAAGATAGTAGAATAATTCAGAACCTATATTGGCAGTAAACCACATATGTGCGGATAGAAAATGAATTCAGTAAATACTTAAAAATGGAAAGAAAGGTTAGACAAGGGTGTATCTTTTCACTGGACCTCAGATAACATCCTTGCTGTATTGAGAATGTTTTTGCACCCTATTATATATAGGGAGATTTTCTAAATGTAGTTTAGATGTGGCACAAGGCTGAAAATATGTACATATATATGATTATAAATGGTGCGATGAATAAATTGTCGTCCAAGTTAAACAAAATTGAAAATAACACTGACATCTCATTTTAACAGATATATTTACCAAAACGGCTCAAAATTATCTTGAAATACTAACAAATAAAATGATTCCTTAAAATCGCCATTGGCTTCAACGAGGGCCTGCAGAATACTTCGGAATCTTCTGTATATTCTGGACGGTCTCCTTGATTAATTTGGTGAATGCTGCCAAAATCCTTGCCTTCATTTCATCTTTGGCGATACAAGTAGTTTTGTTGGTCTTTTGCTCAACTGTGCCCAACACATAATAATCAAGGGGGTTGCAATCTGGGTATTTAGGTAGTCAGATGTAACGGGTGATGTTGTCAAAGTGATTGTCTGACAGCCACGATTAGGTTCTGCTTCTATGGCATGGTGAAGAGTCCTGTTGCCAGATATAGGGTCTTCCAGCAGCCACCCTCTTGACCCTGGGCAGCACTTCCTCATCATGGCAATTGCTGTATGCATCCATGTTGAGTCTGAGGCCCTGTCGAAAAGATGAATGGCGGCAATACTAGTGATCACTCCAAACACCTTTGCAATCATCATTAGACTCCTCCAACTCTTTCCATGTACTCTGCACTGTTTTTAGATTTTCTAGTCAAAGATATTGAAGTAGTTTTAATCTATCTATCTATCTATCTATCTATCTATCTATCTATCTATCTATCTATCTATCTATCTATCTATCTATCTATCTATCTATCTATCTATCTATCTATCATCTATGTTCCTTATCTATGTCAGCTCTATCTATCTATCTATCTATCTATCTATCTATCTATCTATCTATCTATCTATCTCATTCTCTTCATTGTCTATCTATCCTATATCTATCTATCTATCTATCTATGTCATACAGCCTTATCTATCTATCTATTCATCTATCTATCTATCTATCTATCTATCTCATTCTCTTCATTATCTATCTATCTATCTATCTATCTATCTATCTATCTATCTAAGCTGCATCTGTCTTTATCTATGTTTATACTTGATATTTCCTTTGATTATAGAAAATGTTCTATAATGTTTTCTTGTATATGTGTGAGTGCTGAGAAATTCTCAGCTTGGCCCAATTTCCAAAATTTGACCAAACCAGATTTTTTGAAATGTTCGTATTGGAGCTATTGAAATGTATTGGAGCTATTTCCAAATTCTGGTAGATTGAATTGCATTATGGTGCTCTTCTTTCTCACAAACGGTGTCCAACTGATGCTACTATAATTAGCAGACTGCAAAATCAAAAACAAATAAAGCATATAGGCAAAATTAAAAATACAAAATGGCGACAATGTACCCATAGTACCCTGTATAAGTATAGATTTATATGAGCGCAAATACATATTTGTCCCCTATTTGTAGACGAGTACATAGAAAGATCTAAAATAATTATTAAAACCTAAACCAATACTGGAAAACATCCTCTCAGATGAAAAGGGACTTCAGGCAAGAGGGATGTGGTTCTGCAGAAGGATAATGGACAGAGCATGAGGGTATCGTTACCCTCAGGCTCTGTCCAAGTTTTAAGGAAAATGGAAACTAAAAGGACATTTATACATAGAATCAGAATACATAGAATCAGAATGCTCAGAACCAGAAAAAGAAAGTTGAAATTTTTGTGGCATAAATGAGAAAAGATGGCTTGGAGAATGAAACTCACAGGGTACACTAAAGGCAGGATTGGTAAAGGTAAGTAGTGAATGACCTAGTTAACAAGCTTGACTGTCAGATCAGGGAGTGGGAACAATAATTAAAAAAAACAAATTTTTACTAACAGCTACAAACGGGAGGAGATTGTGGAGAGCCATAATCCCCTAGATTCTGAAAGGATATGGCACAGAAGAAGAATCTCTGTCTTATTATTATTATTCATGATTTTCTTCTTCCGCCTTTCCTTCTTTTGCAAAGGCTTCATCTTTTCTTCCTTACTCTCCTCTTTTCTTATCTCCCCTCTAAGGAAAACGCATATAAACTACCTAACGAGTTTGAGTAAAATTAATGGCGGACCAAAATGAAGGAGAGATAACAAAAAGACAAAATTTATTAAGAGCTACAAACGATAGGGATTTGTGAAGAACCTTGAACGCCAAAGTTCTGAAGGAACATAGGATGACGACGACGACGAAGAAGAAGAAGACGAAGACGGCGACAACGAAGAAGAAGAAGAAGAAGGTGACGACGAAGAAGAAGAAGAAGAAGAAGAAGAAGAATACGACGAAGAAGAAGAAGACGAAGACGACGACGACGAAGAAGAAGAAGATGAAGACAACGAAGACGACGACGAAGACGACAACGAAGAAGATGACGACGACGAAGAAGAAGATGATGATGACAACGACGAAGAAGAAGAAGAAGACGACGACGACGACGACGACGACGAAGAAGAAGAAGAAGAAGAAGAAGAAGAAGAAGAAGAAGAAGAACAACAACAACAACAACAACAACAAACAGTAACAGCCTGTGTAAATGGATGGCGGAGTAATTTTATGAGAGGTAACAAAAAGGCTAAGTTCATTAAGACCTTAAAAGGACAGGAAACCGTGGAAAGCTATGATCGCCTACGTCTTGAACGGACATAACACATAAAAGAAAAAAAAGAACCGTTTTTTTTATTCTACAATCAGCCTCATCTATGTAAATGAACATCTGTCTGATAAAAAGAAAAAAAAAGCTATTTCGTCTTCAAGAAATATATAATGCACAAAAACACTACCAGAGATAAGAGGTTGATGAAAAAGAAACAGAAATTTACGCTATTAACGATTTCTGGACATTGTTTGGGGACTTTACTAGAAATCTGTTAATTCCATTTTTCTAAAGATATTTTTACATTGCCATACTCGGATATTTCTAACCCCAAAATTGTATGGGGAGACAAAAAAAAAATGCAATTGTAGACAAAAATGAAGAAAGATTCAGGGTTAAGAGGTCAATTTAAGGACTGGATGCTGTTGAAAATAATGTTTGACTTTTTTTATTTATGAAGGGATACGGCTCACAAAAGAAGAAACCAAATATTATTTCTTTCAAAATGCCGGTATAGTAAACATGTCTGACTAACAGAAAATTTTCACCACTGAAAATGAATTCCGATAAAAGATGACAGGAAATTGTTCAAAATATTTGTGGAAAATGATTAACTGATGAAATTTTTTAAAATAAAAAATATCTCAAAACTTGTTTAAAAACTGCTGAGAAGTTCATTTCCGAATAATAATAATAATAATAATAATAATAATAATAATAATAATAATAATAATGAACAACTTCTGGGACATTTTCATTATATTTCTGTTTAATAAATACACATTCCTCAAATAACTAAAATCTCCTTTGTAAAAACCATAAGGTGCATGCATTTTCATCTTGAAATAGTTTAAGTGATTGCAATGTAATTTAAATAGGAAATCCTTTTAGAGACGCTGATAGCAAGAAATTATGGAGATTATTAAAATCGATGAAATGATTAACTGTCTGACGAGCAAAGAGACAAGAAATGTTTTAGATTTGCTGCAACTAAGAGTGACAGGGTTGTCAATATATGGGTACATCCTCCTAATCCTCCTTGAAGGTAAGCAGTGCTGTGCCCGGTCAGTACTTAGATGGGAGATTACTTGGGAAAATCGGGTACTTTAAGCAACCTCCTACAATTCAAAATATCTGTAGAGAACCGTGTGGGCTTAAGTGTTGTTAAATTAGGAACACGTGAGTTTATTCCTGCTAGAAGAAGGTCCAACTACAAGAACATGGCGGACTCAAGTTGAGTCCAACCGAAGAGGTAAAGAAAACAAATAAGACCGATATATATATATATATATATATATATATATATATATATATAAAAAATAAATATATATATATTAAAAGAAAAGAGGTGCCGCAAACGTTTTTGGTTGTAATGTGGATTTATTTAGAAAAAAATATTATGCTTTGTTTTCCATAATTTTACTACACGTGTTTCTGGTCTCGCGACCATCTTCAGGTAAAAGCGGAGATTTCCACATATTATTAAAAATAATTAATTTTTTCCTTATGTTTTGCGGAACCTCTCTTCTCTTCTTTTTAATATACATACTTTTCTCTCGTTGGAACCAATACAACCTCTTTCTTTTATATATATATATATATATATATATATATATATATATATATATATATATCAACAAATATATGTATTAAACAACAAATTTACAAGTGACAAAGACATCAACATTTGTATTTGTGTGTAAACGTAGAGTTTGTATTTTGGTGAATGTTCGTACGTACGAGTATGTGTGTTTTATGGCGTTTTCCCACAGATGGGCGAAAACGCGGATCTCTGCAAGAGATTACATTTTTAAATGTGTCCGCTGTAGTCTTCCACAGTGTGCTTGTCAAACTTCGTGCAGAGAGGAACCCAGACGAGCCTCTGCTCTTCGGCATAGCCTCGTCTAGGGTGATAGACAGCTACCCGATCCCGTTTTTACGGCGTCTACGGGGAATTTTTGGCCGAGACACTGGACTCGGACACCCCACAATAAACTCGGCCTTGTGCCACATCCGACCGGTTAGTGACTATCTGCAAAGTGAAAAAGAGAACTAGTCAAGAATCTGTCCAGTGTTTATGGTGTAGGGAGAGCGACCCCTAGTGAACAATTAGGGAATTAAAGAGGAGCTAAATCCAACATATGTTTCAACTTTAAATAACCCACAAAAGGTTGATAAGCCATAAAAACAAAATAAAAGAAAATCGTCTCTCTCTCATTTTATATCCCTCTCTCTCCATATATATATATATATATATATATATATATATATATGTGGGCATTGAGTTCAACTTCTATGTTCACTTTTATATTTACATACGATCTATCCCTAATATTGAGCACTTTAACACATAAATATACCTTAAAACTATATATATGATCGCAAAAATCGTGAAACCTGGGGTTACAAACTCATATCCATACGACTGAATATATATATATATATATATATATATATATATATATATATATATATATATATATATATATATATGAACATTGAAGTCAACACTCAGGTGTATATATATTTACATACGCTCTATCTCTGATATTGGGCACTTCATCCCATAATTATAGCAAACCTTAAATTTCATTTCTTTATATATATATATATATATATATATATATATATATATATAAGTTTGCGATCATATATGCAATTTTAAAGTATGGTATATTTATATAAAGTGCTAAATATTAGGGATAGATCATGTAAATATAAAGTTGATATATATATATATATATATATATATATATATATATATATATATATTCACGTTTATGTTCACTTTTATATTTACACTCGCTCTGTCTCTGATATTGAGCACTTTATCCCATATTTATATATATATATATATATATATATATATATATCAATTTACCCCAAGCAAGGTGATAATGTCGCGAAGGCGCAAGTGGCTACTGGAAGTGAAAGAGAACGAAAACACTTTAGAAGCAACCGGAAACCCAATCCTAAACAAGAAACAAGCGAAAAACCTCTACCATCGAAAAAAGTATGAATTAATGACTCCCCTATCCAGCTATATGTAAAATGGCAGGAGAGACTAGGTTTTCTAGCCGTGGTTAACAAACAGTCTAAGAGAAAACAACTGTAGATAGCCCTAGTAAGGCACATACTATACAGATCATGTCTGTAATATATAATGTAGGTATAGTAGGCCAATGAATGAAATTTTTAAAAATAGTATAATAATAAGAATAAGAATAGGTTAGAGGCGGGCCAGCTGAAAGAGTCAGGTGTTGTCACATCATGTTCTTACATATTTAATAGGAACAATCTGGCACTCATGCTGGCCACGCAAGTTGTCAAACGTCTTGCAGAGGATGTTGATTATCTCAGATCTCAGATGAGTGGCAATATTGCATTCCTGTTGCCGTATTAGCAGAAAAGTAGACTGAATAATTTTCTAGCCGTACTGCTGAACGTTCCCGCCACATACACCAAAGGTGAACGAATGTTGGAATCATGATGTCAGAGATTGGGCTTATGTGTCATAGGTAAATACAATTTGAAAGCTGTCGCTCCGCAAATCTACGTTGAAAGGTAATCCTCTCAAAATTCCAATGGAAATGTAGACCACGGCGTAAGTGTAAGTTTGGCTAACAGCGAAGTCCTGTTGTAAGTTAACGATTCCAAACGGTTCCTGGGGCCATATTTATCTGAACTGTACCGTGAAGGTCGTGCGGTCTGCCCTTGATAAGTTTATCATGCTTCGCTCCTTGGCGACCTCATTCCCAACTTGGCCGTCCAGAACCTGGTATACGGGTGGAGGAAAGAAGATTTGACTACTCTTGCCAACTTTGAAGCACTGCTGATGCATCATGTACAACATGCGCAACAATTCTCAGACGTGCCAGCGACCTCTCTCAAACGACTCGAAGTGAATAAAATGCTGAACCTGTTTGCCCTGTCGTCTTTCATCACATTGAATTTATCGCAGCATGCATCACCGTTTAAAGGTTAGATATAGACGGAACTCTTAAATGAAGACAACCGCAGAAAAATAATCAGGATATGTAATACTTATGCTCATGTATATACTGTACACAACTGTCAGATTTCTTTTATCGTCCGTGTGTATCGATACGATCATCAATATGAACCTATTTCCTTTCACTTTCACTCATATATAGAGGGTGTTCATAAAGTTCGTGTGCACTTTAATAAAATAACTTTATTTGTATTTACGAGAGAAATAATTTGAAAAAGGATTAGAAATAAGTAAATCTATATTTTTTAAGGTTTTATGGAAATTTTATTTAACTTTCCACATGTCCCTCATCATTAGCAATACAAAGGGTAATACGATTTTGCAGTTCACGGAAAACATTTGCCAACTAATTTATAGTAATGTCTGAAATCACATTAGTTATTTTAGCTATACTTAAAACTAGGTACATTAAACTTTA